ATAATAATAATGGCGGACTCTATTATTTTGTAATTAATCGTACATAATATAGAGAAAGTTTTGTTTAGCTGTGATTGTGCAGGTGGTTGTCTTCTTGGGTGTTGCGCTGCGTAATATCGTATAAATTAATCGAAGTTTGAGAGGCACTTACTACCTGCATCATGTAAGCCTGTCTTCATTATCAAGGCGATTAACACTCTGATGATGGAGGTAATAAACATCTTTGAAACGCCAGTCAATTTGTACGAGACTACATGGCGGAATTTGTATCTGCCTTTTATGGACATTATAGCACTAAAGTGAACTAAGTACTGTATCAGTTCCAAGATTTTGTTGCTGGACCGCTAAACAATTAAAACACTTACAGACACACAATTAACCTATGTGGTAATTTTCAGTGGTATTAATTGTGTGCAGATGTGTCGAACGCATTGCCCCCTATTCTTTTACTCGCTTTCACGGATGATATTAAGACTGAAATGAGCTTCCCGTTATACGTTGAATTTGTAGACAGAATTAATAATGCCTAAAGCCCTGAAGATGGTGGTAGTATGTTTGAAACGTTTCTGTTTACTTAGAATCCCACGCCACTTTACATCCCAGAAGACCAACATCGATTCCTGTAAAATAGTTACATGTTTTAAGAAATATGGTTGTTATGAATATGATTTTCTGAGTAAACTGAAGCCCAGATTTGTAGCTGAAGTTTGTGTTCACTTTCAGCCTGTTTCATATTAAATATTGTTTACATTTAACAGCTCTGTGTAAAATATTCTATATTTCTGGATTTATTTCTGTTAAATCCATCTCCATTGGTAGCACTTAATGAATTTGGGCCCTCTCTGGCGTAAATTGTTAACATGAATCTTTCATGACTCATATCGAATGCTTACTACATTTTTATAGGGTTTATAGGAAGCCAGCTTTTTATCATTCATGGGAGAGATATTAACATTGAAGGAAGCTTCAAGGCTTTGTTGAAACATGTCACGCGGTTGTAATGTCGTGTCATGTTGGTTTAGCAGGATTTTAAAACGACGTTCTTTCATAAAAACGTGTCTCCTGATGTTGGATTAGGCCATCTTTGTATTCTCCTTCTGACGGCTTCAACATCCTAACAAAGGAAATTGAAAAAAGTCAGAACTTCCATCATCTTCGCGCCACGTGTCAGAAGTCTTGGTTTATCAAAACTCTATGAGGGATGAACAATAAATAAACTACACTCAGAGCTTTGAATACTGTGTTAAAAAAATACAGTTTATATATAGTTAATTTTAATAAAAATAATAAAATTCATCACGTTTTCATGAATTTAATTTGAACATCAAGGACATTACAGACAAATACAAGAACGTAAACGCTTCCGTGTTTATGATAAATACTTGATTGTAATAACTTTAGCCATTTTCAGCTGAGCCTGTTAAATACTTTATATCCGCAGTCTGTAGATAATAATAATGAGTGGCCATGTGGGACTCTTTTCACCGCAACATGGCTGGAACGCGTTTAGACTAGGAAGGTACAGTTCAATTTTTTAGACGTGGCCACTGTGTAGCGCGTGTGGGGAAGTGAGTGCAATAGTTATCGAATAACTTTAAGGTAAGACACCGTTTGAGAGACGTAGCTGTAAATGAGAGAATAATATTACAATTGTTTTTTTTTTGTAACAGTGTTTGTAGATGTCGAGGACTCGATTCGTCTTAGGACATAGACCAGTGACAGGCTTTTGCTAACACGGCAATGAACCCTGGGGCTTCATAAAAGGCGGTGAACGCTTTTAACATCTGAGAGACTGTGTTCTATTGAATTGTACCCCGCTTACACATGGCTAATAAAGATTCGTTTTTTGAAGCGTTTATTTTAGAAGGATTGTTAATTTCAGAATAAAATATGTTAAGTAAGGCACCTTTTAGCTCATTAACCCGATAAAGCAACCTTATTTACTGTGCCGGTATTAAAACCATGTACGTTCAGCTCGTAAACAGTTCCGATACTATGGAATGTGGTTGGTGTAGCGTCGTTAAGTAGTCCAATACACGAACGATAACTAAATGCTTTGCCACGGCTGTAAATTATTCAGTTTATGCGTTCGAGTTGGTTTCTGCTAAATTGATGGCATTCCTCTAACATCTCCGTGTGTACGGATTGCACAACAGAGAAATCGATCGATTGCAGAGAATGTGGCATCCACTCTCGCCCCCCCCCCCCCCCGGCCCTCCCTCCCCGGCCCATAGAATTGATGCTACTTTCTAGAGTCCGTCCGTTTTTACTTTACGCCATCAAACAGGAATGAGATGGGGGAAATTATAAAATAATAATTCCCTTTGCTGTCTGCCTTCTCGCATTTCCCATCAACTAAGGTCAGACAGAAACACGTCACATAATGTCTTGTATGTCTATTCTTTGTGCATTTAAGAACAGTTTATTCACTGGATAAGTCATAATTAAATACTTAAGTAGCTTATCAACCAACTAAGTTACTACGTAATCAAGAATAGCTGATTACATTCAGCAAAGTTGTTTTTTAAAAAAGCAACTAATTGTCATTAAACTGGTTGAGAAATTTATTGTTTGTTATTGGGAAACCGAAATTTCATTTCTGCGATAAGAGAGCCTGCCATTAGACTGTAGCCCGAGTCAAATCAATCCTTAACAAGTCGTATCTGTTTAAGAACCATTTTAGTAGCACATTCACAGGTCTGTAATGTCTTTGTTCAAATTTTAGAATTAAAACTTGGTGTACTATATTTATCATATTTATCACACTCATTTTCCATTCGTATCGTCCTGTCGTAGCTACTCTGGCTAATAATTAAAAAATCAGTACATACCACAAATAAAACACCGCAATTCACCATTAAAAAGATCAGTTGGTTATTACTGTTTAAAGAAATAACCCCTGCTTACAGTCAGAACCACACGAAACTTATAAATACAAAATGATTTGTTGATTGTTCAGGCAGGTGGGACGAACAGTTACTGATGGGCTTTAAAGGCTGTGACCAACCTGGTGGCACTTGATAGAGCCATGTTAAATAATCCACATTGCGTTATATCCAATAAATTCTAAACTGAAGATGTTTCTGAGATAAAGTACACCTGTTTCTGAAGCCATATGCGTTCTCAAATCCTTTGTGAAATCCACGAAAAACCATGCAGTAGTCGCTCATACCTCAAAATCTAAATATACATTTCAGTAACGCTACGGAACATGTTGTACGCAAGTCTTTGCCTTCTTTCTTTTCATGGTTGAAGGACAGGACCACCCGAATCAGTTTTGTATACAAACCTTTACATTTTCTCAAATCTCCTCTTTCGTAGGTTAAAATATTCCCGCCTGAACTTAGTTCTTAGGTAACCTCAATCCATGTTCCTAACTGAGATCAGAAATGGGCATTATTTTTACTTGGTGCCCGGATGGGGTTATTAATAAAGATACTAACGAGAATAGATTGTGCAAAATAAATATTCTTTAATTGCCTTAACACTTTGATGGCTGTTTTCTGGGTTGTAGCGCCGTGTGGTCTGCAACGTTCGTAAAATATCAGACTACACGGTTCTGCATCCTAGAAGACAGCCATCTTCGTGCTCACCATGGTCGGAACGTCAAATCCTACTTACCATATACGTTATTTAACCTGACAAAGTAGTTACAAGCTTTATGGACTTAGCAGAATGTATAAACATTGCTGTTCTTGTTGTTGGACACCCCTGTGCCTTTACCAGCTCAGGATGACTGGAACTGCCTCCAAGGGGTTTTGCCACCCAAAAGGCTAAGCCGTTTTCGGAAAAAGCCTCCTTCGGAGATCCCCTAGATAATTATCCCAACGCCTACACAAAACTAGGATTATTTAACCCCTGGGGCTTCATCGCAAAGGCTATTTTCCAGGATGTTTGTTTCGTTTGGGCCTGGCCCCCAGCGATTGTTGCTCCAGGGGCTCTGCCCCATGAACCTTCTTCCCCGCTTTTGACACCGGGTCTGGACATCCCTGTGCTTTCACAAGTTTGGTTGCAACATTGGCGGAGGAATGATCTAAGGACATTGTTGGAACACGATATTACTCAACAATGGCTTTTGGTCACATTAGTGTAACAATGACCTACGTGATGTGGCCTAAAGAACACCTTTGGAATGTCAAAGTACTCTTTTCCGGTCTTGTCAATACTTATGTTCTCAGGTCGATGCAGCATAGATTTTAAGTGGGCGCTACTCAAATTTATGAAAAGAAGTTTCTCAAAAGACTTTTAGTAAATGAAAATAATAAATACGTGCAGTAGGGACGTCGACAGAGGTTCAATTTCCGTCTAATTATAGACATCTACCTCTTTAAACGCATTGTTTTTACGGTACTTGCTTTAGACTGTGAACAGCGAAACGTTAACAAAGGGCCGTGTTCTTAATGGCGTGCACGAGTGTCTGCCGGCCGGACTGAAGTTTGCCCGACACTGAAGGAGAGACGCAGACTTGTACAGCGACGCACTCTTAAAATGAAGCATATAGGGACCTGTCTGGTACAGTTACAACACGAAATAATGTGTCGTAATATCGTACTGAGGCCCAGTGGTGGTCTCTTGAGAACACGGTAATGAAATTTCGGGCTTTGTAAAAGGTTGGAAAATGTTTTGATTAGGTGAGCGAGAATATTTGTCGATATAGTTCAATTTGAGACAGAAATACTCTTGAACAGATTTGGTTAAACTATAATGATCGTCTTACGTGTAAAATAATTTATTCTGTGTATATTCAGTATTAATGCACTTTGAAAATTGTCTGTTTCTTTAACGCGGTATAATCCACTGCAGAAATTAATTGCAGAAGCGTATAATTGTTATCTACTGCAAACCCACAAATTAAAAAAAATAACCAAGAAACTAGAAGTTAAGAAATTTTGTTTTCCAGGCCAGAGTTTATCTTAATTTCCATTACATAGATTTTATTGACACAGAAATGAATTGTAAAATAAAATACTTTACTTTGTTGATACTTTCTGTCCGTGTAGATACCAGAGAAAAATAGCAGAAAAGTGGTGTTCAGTGGCTGCTTTCCGATAGAGGGCAGATGTACTACAGTAGATGGCGTTTGGATTGGCTGCAGTCCATATGCAGTTTGGTGTGTCCCAGAGCTGTTTGCAGAAAAACGGCACAGTGACACATTTGATTCTGGGCGAGTGGCTGAGATTCGATTTGTGGATCAACACTTTTTCACAGGCTGGTAAGTTTTCACTTCTATAAAAATGCCGCGTCATCTTCTTGCTGTTCACGTCATAGTCTGTAGTGCTGATGTGTGTCACAATTTCGTATGCGAATCAGTTTCTTCGTAAGAACCATTCGACCCTCTTCTATCTGTAGCCATTACTTTTTTGTATGGGTGTGAAACATGGCCTCTACCCTAGAGAAACGAACATAGATCATAGATTATACATGCTTGAGAACGAAATGTTGAGGAGAGTATTTGGTTCTATGAGGGAGAAAGCGAGAGAACGCAAGAGAAAATTTCGCACAAAGGAGATTTATAAATTGCAGACTTAGTCTGTAAATATTACTACGGCGATTAAAACCAGATAGACGAGGTTGACTGAGGATGCAGCACGTATGGGAGATATGATAAATGCATACAAAATTTAGTCCATAACCCTCAAGGATAAAGAATAAATTGTGAAAGGGACGGAGATAAATAAATTAGGTGTCAGGGCGTAGATTGGATTCATGTGGCTCAGGATAGGGCCCATTGGGAGTCTCACTTGAATCATAATGAACCGTCGGGGTATATAAAAGGGCGTGTATTTTGACTAGCTGAGCGACTGTTAGTTTCTAAAAATGAGCTCTGTTCTGTGGGGTTAGTGTATGATGGAAGTCTTATTCTTAACGATTGATTCGTGGCTTATAGCTGTGTCAACTGCTGTCATCTGCTATTATTCCTCGCATAAGGACGCACTGCTAGTTGATTTCAGTTACAATTTCGAGGTTTTGTTTTGCTTATAGATTGACTGGGAAAAATCATTGGGAATTAATTCGTTAAAGAGGGATTTCTAGGTCCATGAACTATACGCATGTGTATGAGTCGAGGTTTAAATATATTTAATGTTTATACGTTTTTATCGTGAATGGGAGAAAATTAAATGAGAATTAAAATACAAACGCGTATCCCAGCAAGAACATTTCTAAAAGTCTTTAAGCCTGTGTCAAGGGAATTACGTAAGGTTAATTTAGACTTAAGCCGTTGTTACAATTTGATAGTACTTACTACTTTATGATATAAATCTATACAGCTAAATTGGCTGGCTGTGTTAAGCTTTAATGTACCTATCATAGCTGAAGTCATTAACAGAAATTTTCTCTTTCCTTCCATTTCTGAAAGAAAGAGAGTTCCAGAACCAATTTTTCCTCCTTACATGTATGAAGTAGCTTTATCTTGACCAAGGAAGGGTATTCGATAGGGGAAGGGCAGCAATTTTTCACCCCTCTCAAGTTGAAGTCCTTGATATTGGTGTTCCCGGTCTCGAGTTTCCGACTTTTTAATCCATCCACTCAAGAGGGCCATAGATTTTACTCATATCTCAGAAATGCCCTATACAAGGCACGTTCCTTAAGTTTTGAAACTCTTTGGTCTGGGGCCCACACAGTCTCATATCCAATGGGTGCCCAAGGTTCGTTCTCAGAGGTCAAAGAGCTGTTGTGGGACTTGACACTGGCTACTCATCCCTTCTAGTGTCAACGTTAAAAAATGAGCAGGAGGTATGTTGTATCTTCCCCCAAGCGCCAGCAAGGCGTTTAACGCGACAGCTTTACTTGTTACTGTTCTCTATATAGACCAACAATTTAAATTGTTTAGAATGTCCAGCGTTACGATATGGGAATATAAACGATTCGTTAATAAGACACACTTGAATTTATTTCTAAAGGCCAGGTATGTAGAGGAATAGACACTTTGATTTGGCAGAGTTTAGTATTAAAACATTCAGGAAATTTCCCGGGGTATATTTGAAAGATGATGGTTTGTTCTGCAGCAGTTTTCAAAATCCACTGTCCATTGGAACCCAATTTTGGTACTATGGTCTGTTCAGATTGCGTATGGGTCAGAAATCAACAGACACACTCCAGGGAGTGATATTATACTGGCTTCCTATTGGACGAAACCGAGGAAGTACCTTTGGGCGCTGCCTTCCGCCCTACTTTGTGAGCTCAGTCCCATTGAGCTGATAGCTCAGATTAAAGCACTACTGTGTGATTGTCACTTATTTGTCCTTGTTCCTCGTATGTGCTTACTTCCGCTCTATACACATCGTGAATAGACCATATCATTGACGCTGCATTTGCTACTGACCTGCACTTCAATGTGTTCCGCTCTGTTCTATACGTGGGAGAAGCAAAGCGAGTTCGTGCATAAGTGGTATGACGTAGAGCGTGACCATCTTTAAAAAAACTAACCAACTCGAGAACAGATAATTTAGTTTTGTGTTAAATATTTGGAGAGTTTAATGAACGTTTGTCGAATCATTACAATGTTATTTTAGATAGGGTAATTTTATTGGCCGCTTTACCTAAGATCAAATTTTTTAAAGTAATTCTCAAATATTTTCGAAGGTATATCCCCTAGTTAACGTAGTTAATTCTTGAAAGAAGCTTTTATTTGTGTAACTATTTTCCCAAAGCAAATACAACCTTAAACGTTATCTGCTTTTTATGGAAACTGAAGGTTTGTACCACACTGATACGTTCCGTACCCGAATTTCATTATTGAAAATTATCCACGGTATTTAAAAGTACTATCTTAAATATTTTATAACAAAAGTTTTAAATGCGTTTTCTTACCGTGAAGTAAATGAACCTCATCTCTTGTTATTGTCAGTAGAGGCGTAGTTCTGCCTCTGGGGGATAGTTTTTTTTGTCTTCCGGTTATTTTACCTTTGTTTATCTTGTTTTTTTTTTGTAATACCGTCTGTAGACTACCATCAGTAATTCCACAAATTTAACCACAGTGTTATTGAATTTAATTTTATTTATTTGTTTAATCTCATGACTTCACTTACGTGTTCCATTTTTAATTTACGTAATATTGTGTGTGACGAAAATTATTATATATTAACAAATATTAGTACAAATAACGTAATGTGTTTAATGAGGTACTTTGAGTGATATATTTCGTGCACCCAATGCTCTTATCTTTGGCGAATATAATTACATTTTGTAGGTAAGTGTGTACGTAGGTTTTAAAAAAGGAATGGCGAAAAATGAGGTACCGAGGGGATGCTTACAGAGAAACGTGTAGGTATTCTTTGTATACAGAAGTTGTCATTAACACGGAAAATTGCTTTGGGAGTTGTTGTGCCAATGTGCCTCGCCCTTTCTAAAGGTGGACTCTAGTTAACGTGATTGCCCAGAGGTGCTGTTTAACAATGCTTGATGAGACCTCGGAGAAAGAGGGTAGCACATTCGTTACTAGAAGAGTGGAGTAAATGAAAAATATAGTTCATCTGGTGGGTGTGGAAGGACAGTAACAAATCAGAATTGCATTCAGGAATAAATTAAGATACGTTGATCCTCTGTGCCGACATACGGACCATAAGCTTAAAAACAATATTAACCAAAAAGTACCAAAATATTTCTTACTCATGATGGGAAGTTGTGACGTAGACACCGAGAGCCATTTTAATTCCTTAGTACGAACATCAGATAAAATAATCACGCTCAGATAAGAATATTATTCTGCAAGGGGCGCAACGTTTATCTGCCTTACCACACACATCCTGATTAAATTCTGAAGGGTTCTGACGATGGTGGATTACACTTAAAATTATTCATTATCTGGACTTTTTCCATCGTCCTTGTTTAAATGAAGAAACCACGACGTTTCGTAAACAGAGCCAGTTTTTGTTTTTGTTGATAGTTATTTGCAAGGATAAATATAATTTTGTTTAGCTATGACGTCATTAATGTTTGTGGCACCATAATGATTGTTGATTAATTGTACAAAAAATTATCTTCAATAGATAAAATCTAGACCAGTGAAGTATGCGAATACCCCAAAACAAAGAAACATTCATCGAAAATAAGACATCGACTTCTCGTAATGTTTTACCATCGCCATGTTGGATTGCCCACATGTCGTAGAGCTGTATGCTGTTAACACGAACTCTGTCTTACATTACTTTTATCAACGTTTCCACCATAACTCTCGCCTCTGTGTGACTTATGCTCTATATTTTTTCCTGAAATAAAGCTTTGAAAGCCCTTGCCTTGCGTCAGTGCTTTTTTATTATAATCCTGGCTAATTGATAATAAAAGCAATGGTATACGTATCCTAGACCACGTCATTTTTGCTCATGATGGGTCTGGATATATAGCCCCAAGACGTCTGAATAGCAGTAGTAAATATGAGTAGGTGGCGAGATTTACAGTCTGACTACTCGGGGGATGTAAAAGTTGACTAGGAAATGAGGCTCATGGAGAGTTACTTTCGTGTGTAAGAGAAACCATCAAAATGCTCTTATTGATAATCAAACTTCGATAACCGAGAATCTAGACATAATTTTATAGACTAAGAGGTAAAGTTAGTTTTCTAGAAGGATTAAGTATTGAGGTTATAATCAGTATACATGTTTGTTTTTTTAATTTGTTCATCGTATAAATTGTAAATGTAAATAAAATGTTTCGAAAGTTGGATGGCTCTCAGTTTAAAGATCTGACGTTAGCTCAACAACTAGAGATTCTGTTTTTTCTCCTTTCTACTTGAAGACGTTAGAAGATTCAGCTTTCGAAACGTAGTTTTGTTTATATTTGTAATTTTGACAATGGACAAAGTAAATAAATATTTTTACTGATTAATCGTACCACTTCTTATGGCTAAGTGACGCGTCTCTTATACTGAGTGAAGAAAATGAAACTAGATTTTTTAAAACAAAGTGCTCAGAAAATATGAAGTGAATTTGGGAACGGAGAATATTACAAAACGACGTATTTTACAATTTATAGAGTAGCTAATCAAGGGATCCGATCAGCTGGCTATGTAGATAAAATGTGGGATTTATGAAATTCATCTTGGAAACTGCGTGAAATCGGAAATATCTCGGCTTCTTGTTTGGTTTTTAATTTTAAATTTTAAATTTTCCTGCATATTTCTTCATACACACATTTTTGCTGATTCCAACATCCGTATTATTTTCGTGGAATCTGCTGTTGTTTCAACTGCACAGATTTGTTATTACTTTAGGT